GTGGAAGGATCACCTGAGTCCAGCAGGTTGAGGCTGCAGTGGCTGTGAGCGTGCCACTGCAGTCTATCCTGGGTGCCAGAGTGAGACTCCAACTCAAAAAAAAACCCCAAAATAACCTTACTCAAAAAACCATCATAATTCCATTTTTAGGCATTAAAAAAATAGTGCTGATTGAAAATTATCTACTAATGCAGAATTCATAGGCTTCGTTTTGTAAGCGCTCGATCAAGGTTCAGTTTGTCACATGCTGTGCACTTGAGTGAAGAAAGCAGTCACTGTGTTGCCATGACGTTTTCATTCAGGCTTTTTATCATCCAGATGTGACTGAACTGTTCTAGAAGCCCCGGCTTGGCCTCCACTTCCCTGTCTGTCCCCACAGTCACAGGTTGCAGGGGCTGGAGGGACCTTAGCGGCGATCTCATCACTAACCCATTTTGCAGATGTGGCACCTGAGCCCAGGAATGCAGCAGGGAGCCAGCCTCACCCAGGGGGTGCCGACAGCCTCAGCCTCCCTGAAGCTGGTAGGCCTCCTGGTCAGGTGGGATTGGGGGTCCAGAGGAGGCCACTCATTGTCTCTAGGCCTCCTGGACTGGCTGGCCCTCTCCTCTCGGTGTCTGGGCTCTGGTGTCCTTGTCACAGGAGTTTGACAGCCCCAGGGAGACAGGTGTGACCGGAGGACACCAGTCCACATGACTGCGGGCCCGCTGTGGGTCCTCAGTGCTGCAGAGCTGGAAGTCTCCATGGAGACACCCCCATCCCTCCCTGTCTTGAGACCAGAGCCCTGCCCCCCTGGTTGACCCACTCTGGGCACCTGGATCAGCTGGGGTCCCAGGTATGAGTAGAGAGGGGAGGAAGGCAGCAGTTATTATCTCCTGAAGGTGGGGGTGGCACCAGAGGGTGCAGCCACAGCCCCACAGCCAGGGTCAAAACCCAAGCCCAAGGTGACAGAGAAGGGGTGAGGGAGCAGTTGACCCAAGTGTGCCTGAGTGAGTGCGTGGATCACAGAGTCCAGAAAGCAGGATGGAGCCTGGGCACGCAGGATGTTCAGGGACCCCATTCCTCTACCCCCACAGGCTTGTGGATTCTCAGCCTCAGAAGGGATCTTAGAAATCATCTAGTCCAGCTAGGCACGGTACTCACACCTGTAATCCCACATTTTGGGAGGCCAAGGCAGGAGGGTTGCTTGAGCCTAGGAGTTTGGAACCAGCCTGGGCAACATAGTGAGACCCTGTCTCTACAAAAAATTTTTAAAATTAGCTGGTCATGGTCGTGTGTCCCCTGAAGTCCCAGCTACTTGGGAGGGTGAGGCAAAAGGATCACTTGAGCCAGGGAAGTCGAGACTGTGGTGAGCTGTGATCGTGCCACTGCACTCCAGCCTGGGCAGCAGAGTGAGACTCTGACTCAAAAAAGAAATGAAACAAAGAAATCACCTAGCCCAGCTCTACATGCCACCTGTTGTGGGACTCTCTTGTTCAGCATTCCTGACGATCGTTCTTGACAACCATCGTGCCTGGTCCAGTGACAGCTTGGATACCCCCAGTGAAAGGAAGCTCTCTCCCTCGTGAGACAGCCCCATTCCCTGCTCCTTCCCTACTATCTTCAGGCCACTCCAAGTGTCAGAATGCCCATCTCCACCCCACCCCACGCCACTGACCCCAAATCTCCCTTCTTGGGACTTCGGCCTTGCTTTCTGGTTCTTCCCACCTGCCTTAGCCAGCTCCAGCTGCCAGAACAAAACACTGCAGACTGGCAACTCTTAAACAACAGGCATCTATTTCTCATAGTTCCGGAGACCCCAAGACCAAGATCAAGATGCAGACAGATTTGGTTCCTGATGAGGGTGTACTTCCTCTTCACAAACAGCCTTCTTCTAACTGTGCCCTCACAGGACAGAAAAAGAGAGAGATCTCTGTTGTCCAGGCTGGAATGTAGTGGCATACTCTCAGTCACCGCAGCCTTGACCTGCTGGGTTCAGGCGATCCTTCTGCCTCAGCCTTCCAAGCAGCTTCCAGGCATGCACCATCATGCCCAGCTAATTTTTCGATCTATCGTAGAGACAAGGTCTCGTCAAGTTGCCCCGGTTGGTCTCAAACTCCCAGGCTCAGGCAATCCTCTCACCTCCGCCTCTCAATGTGCTGGGACTACAGGCAGGAGCCACTATGCCCAGCAAGAGAGAGATCTCTTGCAGGTCTCTTCTTAGAAGGGCACTAATCCCATTGGGAGGCTCCCCACCCACAACCTACATCCTTCCCCAAGGTCCCATCCCCCTGACGCCCTCACATCGGGGTGAAGGGTTTCAATGTATGAATTGAGAGATACCATTAGGCCTTCCGTGGGCACATTCCCCGCGCCCCATTAATGACAGGCTTGGAGAAGATGACCTGGGTCGGATGGGCCTTTGTGGCCTCCGTGCCACCTGCCCTGCAGGCTCGCTGTCTTTGCAGGAAGGGGACCCTGCTGATCAATGACATCTTCGCCATCGTCCCTGCCATCCTGATGGGAGTCAGTAAAGTGACCAAGGCTTTCGAGCTGATCATCTTTTCCCGAGTGGTGCTGGGGGTCTGTGCAGGTACCTGGGGCCTGGGCTCAGCCACACCTTCAGGGGAAGGGTCTGTGGCCAAGGCTGTAGCAGGGCAGGCAAGATGTCAGGCTGGCTCTGTCGGCCTCTTCCCTTCAGGGGCATCCTCCTGTCTCCATTCTGAGTTCGCCACACTTCATGATGTCTAGCCCTCCCTTTATTTAAAATAAAATTTTCCAATGGGGAAGGATCTTTCAAAACACACTCCTACCTTGAAGTATAAATAATCAATATGGTTTTATAAGGTATCTTCCAATGAGGATGGATAGTCTAAACTGAAGATAAGGAGCTTCAGTGAAAATGAATACAGGTCAGGCGTGGTGGCTCACACCTGTAACCTCAGACCTTAGGAGTCTGAGGCAGGAGGATCACTTGAGGCCAGGGATTTGAAACCAGCCTGAGTAACATAGCAAGACCCTGTCTCTACAGAAAATTTTAAAAACTAGCCAGGTGTGGTGGTACACGCCTATAGTCCTAGCTACTCAGTAGGCTAAGGTGGGAGGATTACTTGAACCCAGGAGGCTGAGGATGCACGGAGCTATGATCACACCACTGCACTCCAGCCTGGGTGACAGAGTAAGCCCCTGTCTTTAAAAATAAAAAATAAAATACAGAACCTGTGGTCTCAGGTAGCAGGTGAACGAGGCTTCCTTCTTTCTTTCTTTCTTTCTTTCTTTCTTTCTTTCTTTCTTTCTTTCTTTCCTTTCTTTCTTATCAGAATCTCACTGTGTCACCCAGGTTGGAGGGCAGTGGCACGTTCACAGTCACTGTAGCCTCAATCTGCTGGGCTCAGGTGATCCTTCCGCTTCAGCCTTCCAAGTAGCTGGAACTCTAGGTATGCGCCACCACGCCCATCTAATTTTTTTGATTTATTGTAGAGACGAGGTCTCGCCATGTTGCCCAGGCTGGTCTCAAGAAATTCTCTCGTCTCTGCCTCCCAAAGTGCTGGAATTACAAACCAGTAGTTGTTTCTATTTTTAAAAAGTTATACAAATAATCTGTTTTAGAAAAACCAGAAATAGGTGGAGCATGGTGGCTCACACCTGTAATCCCAGCCCTTTGGGAGGCTGAGGAGGGAGGATCTCTTGAGCCCAGGAGCTCCAGAGTTACCTGTAAGTCCCACTACCCAGGAACACATGGAGGCCTAGATTCCTCCCCTGTGACAAGTGGTCCAGCCCAGCAGCTAGAGAGGAAAGAGCGTCCTCCTCACACCCTCGTGCTGTCCCCACAGGGAGCTGTGAATCCTGGAAGGACTGGGTTGTCAGTCCAAACTAAACGATCAAGATTGACCTGGTCCCCCCCTCCACAGAAAGGCTCAGAGCCCATAGATGCTCAGGGGTCGGGATGGCCTCAAATGAAGCCCCCCGCCCTGACTCCTGCCTTACCTGGACCAGGCATCTCCTACAGTGCCCTCCCCATGTACCTGGGGGAACTGGCTCCCAAGGACCTCAGGGGTGCTCTGGGAACAATGACCGAGGTTTTCGTCATCTTCGGAGTCCTCCTTGCCCAGATCTTCAGCCTCCAGGCCCTCCTGGGCAATCCTACAGGTAACCAGCTGCACGCGGAGGTCACACGGTCCCATTGCTCGTTCCATGGGGCCCGATGTTCCTGAAAGTCGAGTCAGATGAGACTTGGGAGGTGACCTTGGGGTCAGGCAAAGTGCAGCATGGTGGACACGTGTGACCTTGGCGAGGGCTGTTTTAGTGAGTGACGGGGACAAATGATGCTTGGGGGTGGGGGGCGGGGACGCGGAGGCAGGCAGTGTAGACGACTCTGAGGAGTTTTGCTATAAGGGAAGGAGAGACATTGGGTGGTGGCTGGAAGGAGTGAGGTCGGGAGAACGGGGTTTTCTCCTCACTGGGAAAGACATCGGTTCATGTGGCTGCCTGGGAACCATCCGACAGGGCGGGGGAGTTCACGGTCACTGTGACTGTCACCCGGGTGGATGTGGCCCCTGTAAAACGGGACACAAGACTGTTCCTGAGAGTGAGAGTGAGGGGGACATGGTGGAGGGTTAGGAGAGAGGAGAAAGTGTGCGACAGTCCTGCAGGGTGGTGGACAAGAGGATGGACCAACAAACATGGCTTGGATACTGGCATTCAAGGCCCTGTGAACACCATGAGGTTTTTTTCATAAACGTTTTCAAATTCTGCACAGATTCCTTAGTGGGTGGGATGATGTCTGTATCCCCATACTTCCATGAGGAGACTCAGAAGCCAGTGGGAGCTCTCTGGAAGATCTTTTTTTTTTTGAGTCAGAGTCTCACTCTGTCGCCCAGACTGGAGTGCAGTGGCCGCTCCCGGCCACCGCAGCCTCGACCTGCTGGGCTCCGGCGATCCTTCCGCCTCAGCCTTCCGAGTAGCCGGAATTACAGGCGCGCGCTACCACACCCGGCTGATTTTTTGATTTTATTGTAGAGATGAGGTCTCGCCTGCCCAGGCGGGTCTCGAACCTGCGGGCTCAGGCAATCCACTCACCTCAGCCTCCCAAAGGCGCGGGATTACAGGCTGAGCCATCGAGCCCAGCAAGATCATTTTTAATAGATTCCCAAACTGCCCTGGTGCAGCTGAATATCTAGCCCTCATGAGAGAGGCGTCACCCTGGAAGAGCCACCTGGCACCGACACTTGGTGTGTGCCTCCTCCACCCTCACCCTCCATGTCTGCCTTGCTAGAAGACATTTGCATTATCTTTATTTTACTGATGAGAAAAAGGAGGCTCAGAGAGGTTAAGTAACACATCTAGCACCCATCAGACCAGCAGGGGTGGAGGGGGAGGGTGCAGGTGCAGACCCTGTTTTCCTTTTTTGTGAGTTGGAGCCTCGCCTGCTGGGCTCCGGCAATCCGTCCACCTCAGCCTTCTGAGTAGCCGGAATTACAGGCGCGCGCTACCACGTCCGGCTGATTTTTTGATTTATTGTAGAGATGAGGCCTCGCTGCCCAGGCGGGTCTCGAACCCCCAGGCTCAGGCAATCCACTCACCTCAGCCTCCCAAAGGCGCGGGATTACAGGCTGAGCCACCGAGTTCGGCAGACCCTGTTTTCTTAGTGGGATTTTAGGACAGCCTCCTTACCCCAAGTCTTCTAGAAGGAGCTCACACAGGCCCAGGGGAGGATCCATCCTCTGCCCAATCCATTATAAGATTATGCCCTTTCCATTCATAAAAGTAAGAACAAGACATAGCTTCATTTTCTTGGTGGCTCAAGCTTTTAAATCACATCCTATTCCTAAGAAAACCAGTGCTCTTCTAGCTAAGATGAGACCTCACACCTGTAATCCCAGCACTTTGGGAGGCCAAGGCAGGAGGATTCTTTTAGGCCAAGAGTTCAAGACCAGCCTGGGCAACATAACAAGACCCTGTCTCCACAAAAAAAGAAAAGAAAAACAGTGCTCTTTCTGCAAAATAACGAACAAGTCATACATTTTGATAAAGATACTTATTTCCTCTGTTTTTAATATGGAGCCCTTTGTGGGAGGGTCTTGGTAAGGACGAGGTCCCCAGGGCCTTTGGTTCTCACGGAAGGCAGGAACATCACGGGCATGTGTTGCCCCAAGAGGACATGGAGGCCAGCCAAGGCATGCCCAGGGCCCCAGGCGCCCTGCAGGCTGAGCCTCTAGTCCTTGGTGCTGGCTCCTCGCAGGCTGGCCGGTGCTCCTGGCCCTCACGGGAGTGCCTGCCCTACTCCAGCTGCTGACCCTGCCCTGCTTCCCCGAGAGCCCCCGCTATTCCCTGATTCAGAAGGGAGATGAGGCCACAGCGCGGAGAGGTAAGACGCAGACGGTCCTGCCAGGCCCTTCCTGTCCCAGGGCCCTGCGAAGGCCACGGTCAGGGATGAGAGTTGGACGCTTGGGTGGTGTTGAGGGATGGCCATAGGGTCATGGTCACAGCTTCGGGGACCTCACCGGGGGCAGGTGGGGGAAAGGGCGAGCCCACGGCCGGGTGGGAGACAGCATGCAGCAGACAGTCCGCCCACTGAGGGTGGCGCTCTGCTCTCCGCAGCTCTGAAGAGGCTGCGAGGCTGCGTAGACGTGGAGGCTGAGCTGGAGGACATGCGGGCGGAAGCCCGGGCTGAGGCCGCCGAGGGCCACCTGTCGCTGCTTCGCCTCTGCGCCTTCCGCCCCCTGCGCTGGCAGCTCCTCTCTGTCATCGTGCTCATGGCTGGCCAGCAGCTGTCGGGCATCAATGCGGTATGCGGGGACAGGGGCAGCGGGAGACAAGATTAGTCTAGACCTAGACTTGACTTACAGAAACGAGGGACCTCACCCACGGAGGCCAAGTGCCATAGCGGGGCCCAGGAACAGCTAGCAGCAGGGCCAGAGTCGGGAAGAAGCCTGAGTCTTCTCTGTCTCCTGCTTTGCCTCTCCCACGTGCCACTTTGTTTTTCTCTTGCTACAGAACATTTCTCTTTGCCTCCAGTCCCCAAAGGGAAACACCTCCTGCCAAGAGTAAACAGCTCCCTCCCGCTCCTTCCCATAAAACAGACCAGCTAGGCTGGGCTGGGTGGCTCAGCCTGTAATCCCAGCGCTTTGGGAGGCCGAGATGAGTGGATTGCCTGAGCCCATGGGTTCAAGACCCACCTGGGCAACTTGGCAAGACCTCATCTCTACAATAAATCAAAAACTAGCCGGGCATGGTAGCACGTGCCTGTAATTCCAGCTACTTGGAAGGCTGAGCGGAAAGATTGCTGGAACCCAGCAGGTCCACACTGGGGTGACTGTGAATGTGACATTGCACTCCAGTCTAAGTGACAGAGTGAGACTCCAACTCAAAAAAGAAACAACAACAGACCAGCTAGACCCAGATGAGTCCAAGTTCAGGTCCCCAGGGCAGGGGTTAGCAGGTCCAGCCCGGGTCAGGAGCCAGCCTTGGGCCCGCTCAGCTGTGATGTGGGCCGCGTCACTTCCTGTGAACACAGTTCTGTTGCTGTCACAGTCCAAGGTGTGGAGGGAAGGGCAGAGATCTGAAAACTCGGCAGGGTTACCTCTAGAAATATCAGAGGTGGGTTGGGTGACCCAGTGGTGCTCAAGGGATGTGCCAAGCAGGGAGACTTTGGCCTCAGGGATTCATAGATGTTCAGCAAGTGACCTTGGGAGGGCGGACGGCCCAGGCAGGAGCCACCAAATGGGGAACAGCACACGTGGCTTTCAGAAGTGCTGTTTGTGCCAGCATCCTCGGGGCTGAGACAGAAAACAGGCCAAACTTGAGGCTGGCTTGGCCCAAAGGAAGAACTGATAAGGCATTCTCTGGGAGTCTGAGTCATAGAATGACAAAGTGATGGGAGGGGAAAGTTCTCTCAGAGCCCACGTGGTGCAGCTGCTGTTTTATGGATGCAGAGGGTTCCGGGGCAGAGCCGGGCTCTCTCCTCGGTGACCTGACTGCAGGCCACAGCTGTTTCGCCCACCCACTGCCACCTGCCTGTCTGGGGACGCCAGCCCAGGCTTTCGGAACGGCTTGTTGCTACATCACAAAAGTTAAGCCAGTGGCCTGGGCCTACGAGGTTCCCCCCCCCCGTCACAGCCTGTGTTCTCGCTTAGATCAACTACTACGCGGACACCATCTATGCGTCTGCTGGCGTGGAGGCTGTGCACTCCCAGTATGTCACAGTGGGCGCTGGCGTCGTCAACATTGTGATGACTGTCATCTCGGTGAGTGGCCAGGAGGCATCCCTCCTGCTGGTAGGTCTCAGAGCAGGTGTGGCCAGGCAGATAGGAGCCCCACAGAGTCAGCTGAGTGCTAGCAGCCCTGGTCCTGGGGTCACTGGAGGGACACGAACTCTTGGATGTGCATATAATTACTGCCTGTGTGACCTTGACCAGGCTACTTGAAATACCTTAAAATCCAGGTTTTTTGGGAAAATCATTGTGGTGATGGCAATACCTTGTATTGTGACGTAGGTGTAATTTTTGGGGGAGTGCGATACCATTATTTCAGAGTTCGCTATTTAAAATCTGAACTACCTAGCCAAGCACAGTGGCTCATGCCCATGGTCCCAACACGTGGGGAGGCAGAAGTGAGAGGATTAACTGAGCTCAGGAGTTCAAGACCAGCCTGGGCAACTTGGCAAGACCTCGTCTTGCCAATAATAAAAAGAAAATTCGCCAGGCATGGTGGTGCGTGTCTGTGGTCCCAGCTACGTGGAAGGCTGAGGCAGAAGGATTGCCTGAGTCCAGAAGGACAAGGCTGTGGTGGCTGTGAGCATGGGCGACAGAGTGAGAATGGTATTGAAAAAATTCTGGGCCGGGCTCAGGGGCTCAGCCTGTAATCCCAGCACTTTGGGAGGCCAAGGCGAGTGGATTGCCTGAGCCTGCGAGTTTGAGACCAGCCCGGGGAACTTGGCAAGACTTCGTCTCTGCAATAAAATAAAAAATAGCCAGGCGTGGTAGTGCCTGTCTGTAGTTTCGGCTACTCGGAAGGCTGAGGTGGAAGGATCACTGGTGCCCAGAAGGTTGACACTAGGTTGGCTGTAAGCATGCATGCCACTGCACTCCAGCCTGGGCCAAGGAGTGAGACTCCAACTCGGAAAAAAAAAAATCTGAACTACTTATGCCTTGATGTGCATGTTGCATTAACAATTTAAAAGTTGACAGAGGCGCACGTCTCCCAAAGTCGACTGGTTCCGATCTTCCGTCCCCCAGAACATTTTCAAGTGATCTTCTGATCACTTGAAGCTCACATCCTGCCAACAGGCAGCAAGGCAAGGAAGGAGCACCCAGGAGGGCCTGTGGGGTAGCAAAAGCTGGGCCTGAGGATGCTGGTGCCGTCTAGGCTTCTCACTGCCATCTTCTCTCCAGGCGGGCATGGTGGAGCGGCTGGGGCGACGGCACCTCCTGCTGGCCGGCTATGGCATCTGTGGCTCCTCCTGCCTGGTGCTCACCGTGGCGCTCCTCTTCCAGGTCTGACCTCATTCCTGCCTCCCTGGTGGGGGCCCGCGGCAAGCGGTGGGAGGCCCCCAACAGAACCGGGACCCCTAGACTGAGGGGACTTCTCAGTCCCACCCCACGGCACGCCCCCTTCATGACCAGCATTTGCAAAGCCTCTTCCTGAAGGGAAGGTCAGGGAGTTTCACTCACCTACACCCAAATGCGCAGAGACCCAGATGCAATGATCCACCTGTCACATAGAGGAGAAACAGGAGAAGAGTTTGCAATAAAATGTGCGTTTCTGTGGCCGGGCGCAGTGACTCACACCTGTAATCCCAGCACTTTGGGAGAGGGAGGCGAGAGGATTCCCTGAGCCCAGGGATTCGAGACTAGCCCGGGCAACATGGCGAGACCTCATCTCTACAAAAAATCAAAAAATTAGCCAGGCATGGTGGCGCACACCTGTGGTTCCAGCTACTTGGAAGGCTGAGGCGGAAGGATCACCTGGGCCCAGCAGGTCGAGGCTGTGGTAGCCTCAATCATGCCACTGAACTCCAGCCTGAGCGACAGGGTGAGACTCTGACTCAAAAAACAAAACAAAACAAAACGAAAAATGTGTCGTAAAGAGATTATTCTGCAACTTAGACACAAGGTCCTGGCTTCTTTCTGTCGTTTTCAAGCTGTCCTCTCCATAATGATCTTCTCCTTAACCATCAGGGAGTGTTGCAGGGGCCTTCATGTGGGAAGAAGCTGGTGAAGTTTAGGGAATCACGCCAAGCTGGAATTTGTGAGAACACAGCAGGCAGAGAGGGGCGGGGAGGGCGGAGGACTGGTGAGGAATAGGGTTAGTGACGTTTACAATTCAGTTTCATCAAAGCTTCTTTTTAATTTTTTTTTTTTTTTGAGTTGGAGTCTCACTCTGTCACCCAGACTAGAGTGCAGTGGCCGCTCCCGGCCACCGCAGCCTTGACCTGCTGGCCTCCGGCGATCCTTCCGCCTCAGCCTTCCCAGTAGCCGGAATTACAGGCTTGCACTACCACGCCCGGCTGATTTTTTGATTTATTGTGGAAATGAGGTCTCGCTGCCCAGGTGGGTCTCGAACCCGCGGGCTCAGGCAATCCACTCACCTCAGCCTCCCAAAGGCACGGGATTACAGGCTGAGCCACCAAGCCCAAATAAAGCTTCTTTAAAAAACAAACCAAAACAAACAAACAAAAAAAACCTTTGTAGAGACAGGATCTCATCTGTTGCCCAAGCTGGTCTTGAATTCCTAGCCTGGAGCGATCCTCCAACCTCAGCTTTCCAAAGTGCTGGGATGACAGGCCTGAGCCACCATGCCCAGCTACACTTTCCCATCTAAAGAACTTTCTTTAGTAACTTTAAAACTAATATACGATGCAGGTTTGAGACCAGCTCAGGCAACTTGGCAAAACCTCGTCTCTACAATAAATCAAAAATTAGCCGGGCATGGTAGCACAGGCCTGTAGTTCTGGCTACTTGGAAGGCTGAGGCGGAAGGATTGCTGGAGCCCAGCAGGTCGATGCTAGAGTGGCCATGAGTATGCCACCGCACTCCAGCCTAGGCGATGGAGTAAGATTCCAACTAAAAAAAAACACAACGAACTAATATATGAGCCCTTTGTCTTGGGTAGAACCTGTAGGAACTACAGGAAATGAGAAGAGCTGAATTAAACCAAGTTCCACCTCCAGAGATCTCATTTCAGACATTGTGGGGCGTCCTGGTGGCTCCCTCCCTCCTCTGTCCAACCCAGGAGGGCTCTGCCAGGGGTGCCAGCAGCCGCCCCCTTTGCCTCGGGTCCAGGGTGGCCCCATCAACCTGGCCAGCCCTCTGCTTGCTTGAAGTGCTAAATGTCCCCCAGGCTTGCTCCCCACTGCTCTTTCTGTGGAAGACACATCCATCTTGTGGCTCCTCCCCTCAGAAGCTTCCGCGATTTTCACCCCCACGCCACCCAGCCCTGGGGCCAGCCTCTGCCCCCAGCACCCATCATAGCTGTGACTGGCGGGTCACTGGGGAGTTCTCAGGGGAGCCTGCTCAATTTGTCTTGTGTCTGTTGACCCGGGTTTGCATCAGCCATTGGGAGCAGACATGGCAGCCAGGGGCCCCCACCCCCATGGCCAGGCTCCTGGAAGGAGTCTCTCCAGAGAGGGCAGGGTGAGCTCGGATCCCAACCTGTCGCCTGTGGGTCAGGTGGCTGAGGCCACTGCCTGATCTGTGTTCAGAGCCCTCTGTGCTCTGATTCCGCTCAGGGGGTGTCAGGAGGGCTAGATGAGTGGACCGTTGTAAGTGCGGAAAATTGTACCTGTCGGGAAAATAAATACAAGGTGGGTATCCTTCCCCCCACATCGCTCTCAGTGAGGCGGGGCTGGAGCCCTGGTGACCTAGAATGCAAGATGGCCGTCCTCCTCATCGTCCTCTTGCCCACCCACAGAGCCCCTGGGGCCCGTGAGGGTGATCACACCCAGGTGTGGCCCCTCTGGGGGACAGGGACGTGGGACCCGCAGGCGGACTCTGCTACCCGTGGGGCTCACGGCCTCAGATTAGCAGAGCTCCCAGCCAGGGTCCCTCAGCCCAGATGGCCCTACCTCTCCCACAGAGCACGGTCCCTGAGCTATCCTACCTTGGCATCATCTGTGTCTTCGCCTACATCGCGGGACACTCCATCGGACCCAGTGAGTATCTCCCTCCCTCCCTCCCTTCCTCCCTCTGCTCTGGACCCGACAGGGTCAGTGCTCAAGAAATATTTGCTGAGGCCAGGCACAGTAGCTCACACCTGTAATCCCAGCACATTGGGAGGCAGAGCCTAGAGGATTGTCTGAGCCTAGAGCTTGGACACCAGCCTGAGCAACTTGGTGGGACCTTGTCTCCACAATAAATCATGAAGGTAGCCAGGTGTGGTGGCGCACTCCTGTGGTTCCAGCTACTTGGAAGGCTGAGGCCGAAGGATCACCTGAGCCCAGCAGTTGGAGGCTGGGTGGCTGTGAGTGTGCCACTGCACTTCAGCCTGGGCGACAGAGTGAGACTCTGACTCAAAAAAAAGAAAGAAAGAAAGAAATATTTGCTGAGTGAACGGACATCCTTGTGCCCTTTGCCTGCCAATTCCATAAGATCCCACCCCCACCTGGCCTTAGAGGCTCAGCCCAGCTGATCCTGTCTGACACCAACCATTCCAGGTCACGTTCATTCATTCACCTGGCATTTACTAAGTGCCAACCAGTGTTGCGGCCAGGCTGGTTCCCACGGATCTTCTGTGGCTCCCAGGGGGACCCAGACTTGGCTCTGGAACCCACCAAGGAGATGAGCTTCTGCAGAGAGGAGCTCATGCCAGCCAGACCCCCCCCCAGCATCTCGGCGCATGTCCAAACACTCCAAGCCCACAGCCCGACCAGGCCTCCACTGTCTTTGGCCACCCCCATCTGCCAGCTGCAACCCCTGCTGCATTGTCCCCACATCCTGGTACAAGGCTTCCAGCCTTCACCTGGGCCCACCTCTCAGGGCACCTCAGAGACTCCAGGTTCCTCTCCCCGTGTGTCCTCCTGAGACTTGAACCTCATTCTCCTTGCCTGGAGAGAGACACCTCTGACTGCGAAGACACAAATAACATTCCCCGCAGAATCTTCGTTTTGAAAGGGTTTCCATAAACCAAAGGAAAGGTGTGAATCCATGCGACTCACAATAACAGAAGGCCCGCTGGGGCTGTGCCGTCAGGCACAAGAAGGGGTCAGCACAGCTGTAGCTAAGGGTGTTTAAGAAGCGGGATATGGGGCAGGAAGCTTCCTGGTATACCTTAAAGGAGGAGGCGGGAGAACCTTGCAGGAAAAGTGCCAGTGTGTGTGCCAGAAACTGGGGGTTCTAGGCCATCCCCGCTGCAACCTATGTCTCCGGGGACAAGCCATTGTGCTTCTCGGGGAACATGGGTGACTGGATGTCACAAGCAGATGGGAGATCAGACTGTGGCCTGGGCTGACATTCGAGCAGGTCCTGAGGGACTGCTTAGTTACTGTTGCTGTTGACCTGGTGGGGAGGAGGGAGGTTGGACAGATGACATCCTCACCAGCGCCCACGTGGGGAGCAAAGCCCTGGAGAAGGGCCCCTGCTCACCGGGCTGCGGGAGTTTTAAACTTGACATCCAAGGGCAGCTTCATGCTGGGGCTTGAACTCCTCTCTGAGACCGCATTTTCCCACTTCCTTCCTTTTTTGACTGGGTCTCACTCTGTTGCCCAGACTGGAGTGCAATAGTGCCATCATAGCTCACTGTAACCTCACCCAGCTAATTTTCCTTTTATTTTTGTCATAAAGACAAGACCTCGCTATGTTGCCCAGGCTGGTCTCAGACTCCTGCTCAAGCTAGCCTCCCACCTCAGCTTCTTCTTTTTTTTTTTTTTTAATTGGAGTCTCACTCTGGCACACTCATGGCCACTGCAGCCTTGACCTGCTGAACTCTGGCGATCCTTCTGCCTCAGTCTTCCAAGTAGCCGGAAACCACAGGCATGCAACACCATGCCTGGCTAATTTTTTGATTTATTGTAGAGTCAAAGTCTCGCCAAGTTGACCCAGCTGGTCTCGAATGCTTGGGCCCAGGCAATCCTCTTGCCACCGCCACCTAAAGTGCTGGGATGACAGGCCTGAGCCACTGCAGCTGGCCAAGACTGCATTTTCAATGTGGCCATATCAACCTCTGAGGGAGGGAAACTGATTAGGGGGAGAGGAAGAACCTTACTCTTTTTATGCATAAAGGCACAGATAGATAGATAGATATACCCATATACATATATATGTGTATATATATATATACACATATATACATGCATACACACAGGACATAAATATACAGTATACCTGTGGTATTAAAATTTCATGAGGGTGGCAATTAGGAGGAAAAAATTGCTTTAGACATTTTATTTATTTGTTTGTTTTAAAAATAGAGACAGGGTCTTGCTGTGTTGCCTAGGCTGGGCTGGTCTTGAACCCCTGGGCTTAAGTAGCCCTCCTGCCTCAGCCTCCCAAAGTGCTAAGATTGCAGATATGAGCCACTATGCTCAACTGGCTTTAGACATTCTTTTTTTTTTGAGTTAGAATCTCACTCTGTCACCCAGGCTGGAGTGCAGTGGCAGCTGCTTATAGCCACCACAGCTTCTACCTGCTGGGCTCAGGCAATCCTTCCACTTCAGCCTTCCAAGTAGCTGGAACCACAGGTGCATGCCACCAGGCCCAGCCAATTTTTCTTGATTTATTGTAGAGGTGAGGTCTCGCCAAGTTGCCAGGCTGGTCTCGAACCCCTGGGCTCAGGCAATCCTCTAGCCTCTGTCTCCCAAAGTCTGGGATTGCAGGCATGAACCACCAGTACCTGGTGGCTTTAGAAATTTTAGACGCGACTAAATTGGTTGAGGAGCCTTTGACCCAAGGAAAGGTGCCGCCCTCGGGTGGGTCTGCCATTCCCAGACTCACCACAGGAGGGCAGCACGCCCCAAGCACAGGCCCCTCCACCCTCCAAAATTTTCAAAATACACCGAATTGGAGCTTTCAGAAAACTCTCCTCGCCTGCTCCTGCCATGGACTCACCACCTGCTGCTCCAAGACGCTTTCCACCCATTTCATGTCTAAAATGACGCTTCCTTTGCGAAGCGTCCCCGGCTTTGAAGAAAAGCAGTGACAATTCCATTCCAGGCTCCCCAGCCAGACGTTCCCAAGGGGACCCTGTCAGCCTCCGCCCTGTGACCTGCTCTTGTGGGAGAGGCAGGGCTCCTCTCTGGGCCTCCCCACCCCACTCCTGTCCCAGCAGGGACTGCCCATGCAGGGACATGAGCCCCCCAAGGGGCCTGGGTCTGAGGCTGGGCCCGGCCACATCCTGCCAGCCCTCGGGGGCGCTCTGGGCCCGTGGCGGCTCCACTGTCCTGCCCTCTGTCCCCAGGTCCCGTCCCATCGGTGGTGAGGACTGAAATCTTCCTGCAGTCCTCACGGCCAGCTGCATTCATGGTGGACGGGGCCGTGCACTGGCTCACTAACTTCCTCGTGAGCTTCCTGTTCCCGACCCTCCAGGTGAGCCAGGGTCCCCGTCCCAACCCTGCCCCACCAGCCTCCAGGGAACAAGTAGAATTCCCCCTCCAAAGACCCTCTGGGAATTCAGCACGAGGGGGACAGGACCCCGGACACTTTCATGCGATGCCGCTGCAGCCAGACCCTTTGAATGCACTGGTTTCCCACGTACCGAAGGGACCCCCCGACCCACACTGAGAAAGCTGTTCCTCAGGGTCTCTGGGCTGCAAAGGTCAAGGGCAACAGAAGGAACCGGGCAGGCTGGGGCCTGAGCCAGGGAGCGGTCCCCCGCCACCTCCTTCCCCAGCCTCTGAAGACACGCACACAAACTCAATCTTCTAGCTTTTTGTTTCCTGCAGACTATCTTCAGGGCGTTTTTGTTTTTGTTTTGAGTCAGGTTTTCACTCTGTCACCCAGGCTGGAGGGCGGTGACAGCATCCTGGGCTCATCAGTCCTCCTGCCTCAGCCTCCCGGCATGCACCCCCACACCCAGCTAAGGTTTTGATTTTTTGTAAAGATGAGGTCTGTCTCTGTTTCCCAGACTGACCTCAAACTCCTGGGCTCAAGCGAGCCTCTCACTGGAACTACAGGCACACACCACCATGCCCAGCTAATTTTTTATTTTTTTGGAGAGCCAAGATCTTGCTGTGTTGCCTAGGCTGGTCTTGAACTCCTGGGCTCAAGCGATCCACCTGCTTCGGCCTCCCAAAGTGCTGGAATCCCAGGCGTGAGCCACCATACCTGGTAGCAGTCGATTGCCACAATTTGCTGGTTATTTTACTCTTCTAGGAGTAAAACAAAAGCGGCCACCAAGAAGCTCCTTAGGACTCACACAGACCCTGACCAGAGCTGTCCCTGTTGCGTCTTTCTCTCCCCACTCCTGTTTTCTTCGTGTCTTGGTCTAGGAAGCCATTGGTGCCTACTGTTTCATTATCTTTGCCGGCATCTGCCTCCTCACTGCTGTTTACATCTATGTGGTTATTCCTGAGACCAAGGGCAAGACATTCGTGGAAATCAACCGCATCTTTGCCAAGAGAAACGGAGTGGAGATTCCAGATGAAGAGAAAGAAGAAATCAGTGGTGCTGGGCCTCCCAGACTCCCTCCGCCTGCCAAGGAGACTTCCTTTTAGTGGAGTCCACGTGCCTGTATTCAGGACTTCCTATGACAAAGAGGACTCCCTGCCCCAGGCCTCGGGGAGGGTAACAGCTCTGTGACTTCTGTATCTCCAGTGGCAGCTGGAAGGTTTTGGAAAGTTTAGTCACTGATTCAGTTGAGAATTCAAGGCTGACCCCCGGGAGGACTGACCTGGGGGATGGACAGATACCTGAGTGTTGGTAGACAAGACTCAGTTCTCTGGTTCTACATCGGCACCAAGACTTAAGTGATGTGTGGAAGCACTTTTTAAAATAAAACTCAGCTGGATGTGGTGGCTCATGCCTGTAGTACTTTAGGAGGCTGAGGCGAGAGGATCGCTTGAGCCCAGGAATTCAAGACTCGCTTGGTCAACATAGCAAGCCAAGAGGTCGAGGTTCTGGTGAGCCATGATTGTGCCACTGTACTCCAGCCTGGGCGACGGAATGAGTCTCTGACTCAAAAACAAGCAAATTAACCTGCAGTGACAGAGAACAAGTCAGCGGTTCCCTGGGGAAACTTTTGGAGGTGATGGAATGCTTGTTGTCTTGATTGTGATGATTATTTCAAGGATGTATACGTGTGTCAAAATATCAAGCTGTACATTTTAAGTAAGAGAGGAAATAATAAAAATGTTTTTTAAATTCACAGTAGTAAGCCGGGCTCGGTGGCTCAGCCTGCAATCCTGCACCTTTGGGAGGCTGAGGTGAGTGGATGGCCTGAGCCCGCTGGTTCCAGACCCGCCTGGGCAGCGAGACCTCATCTCTACAGTAAATCAAAAAATCAGCCTGGCGTGGTAGCGCGCGCCTGTAATTCCAGCTACTTGGAAGGCTGAGGCGGAAGGATCGCCGGAGCCCAGCAGGTCGAGGCTGCGGTGGCCGGGAGCGGCCACTGCACTCCAGTCCGGGCGACAGAGTGAAACTCCAACTCAAAAAAAAAAATCCACGGTAGTAAACCGCACTGTCTCTTGGTGACTGTGCACCTGGTCGGGAGAGGGGTTGATCCCAGATATCAGGAGAGCTGAAATCTAGTCACCCCCTTTGCCGCAGACATCATGCCCTTAGAGCCCGTCTCTGACTCTCGCTCAGATTTTCTTCCTAGGCGGTTCACGGGAAACTTAGCACGGTGTCTTGTAAACACTTTCAGCGGGGCTCCGATCAATGCTTGCTGATTGGGCTTCATGTGGGGTCAGGTGAGCTGTGGCTGTTGTTCTAACAGATTCAGCCTCTCCCTGCGTAGCCTCCTCAGAGATCGTTCTGAGGTCTGGGGTCAGACTGAGTCACTCACCTGCCACTGCCCCGCATCTTGTTGGGAGATCGAGACCAGGTTGGCCCTTGCAGCGTGCTTGGCTCACACAGACCCGCGGGTCTTTCTGCCTAAGCCCAGGTGCTGCAGAGACGGGACTCACAGGTAAGGGAAGATGCCGAGTCAGGGGCCCTGGGTGGCAAGGGTGGGAGCTGAGGGCTCAGGGTGAGGCCGGTGGCGTTCCCGTTGGCCAGCCCACCTGTATTTGGGGTCTCAGTCACAGTCAAACTCGGACGTGCCATACCGGGGTAGGCAGTTTACAGGAGTGAGTAGGAGGCCTTACTTAAAAAACTTACTCACTGGGCTCGGTGGCTCAGCCTGTAATCCCAGCACTTTGAGAGGCCGAGGTGAGTGGATTGCCTGAGTCCATGGGTTTGAGACCCACCC